CGAGAAGATCAATTTCACTCGCAAGGTGACCACCGATTTTGTGGACTGCATAGATGACATCATTCGCATGGGCCTGTCACATTTCCGCACCCTCAAGCAGCAACCAGATGCCAAAGATCGAGCCTTCCGGAAAGCTGATGTGGAACAGCAGAAGGCCATCGAATCAGTGCTGGCGATCATGGTTGTGAGTGTGGAGGAGCCCAAAGATGATCCCACCAGTCTTGTCCCATCAAACACCTTGGAGCGTACGCATTCTTCTTCGACAGTTCCACCTGACCACGACCTGCAGATTGTCGTTTATGACAAGGCCAGGGCTCAGGAGGCCTTGAAAATGACACCTGACAAGATCTTTTCCAAGGTCTTAGGTGAGGAGCACTGCAGTCCTGCCAAGCCAATCCCATCCCCACAGCCACAGAAAGGACCAACCGATCCTTTCCATTTGGCTTTGACCGACGAAGACATGGCCCTTGTGTCCCAAGCCCAGGAAGCTCTTCCCATCAGCAAAGATGGCAAATCCCAGCAGCAGCGCTTGAACGCTGTGCTCAAGCTTGAGGGCAAGGGGAAAGAGGCAGGGAAGGGAAGAGGGAAAGGAAGAGGGAAGGGGAAAGGGAAGGGGAAAGGGAAGGGGAAAGGGAAGAAGGGGAAGAAACCAAATAAGCAAACAGAATTTGTAGAGACAGGGCATTCAGAGAGGAAGACATCAGACCAAAAGGCAACAGCCAACAAGAAGACAAAGGAGAAGAAGACGGTTGGGCAGAAGACTCAGAAGAAGGAGAAGGAGAAGGCGGCGTCGACTGACCTCAGTGACACAACCTCGAAGCCCATGGACTCAGCCCCCAAGCCCATTCCCAAGAAGCGAGCCAAACCCGATTCCAACATTGTTGAGCTCCAGGTTCCAAGCCAAGTTCCTGACCCCAAGACTGAAACACTCCCCAGGAAGACTGTGAGGAACAGGTTTGTGTCGAAGGCGTACCATGACACAGAGGTTTTGGCAAAGAGGGAGGGTTATGAAGGAGAGGATGTGAAGGGTGCAGCGCAAGCCGCATTCAAAAAAGCCGGTCAGATCTTCGACGCATCGTGGCCCCGCTCTCAGAGCAAGAAGGTGATTGAAGATATTGACTGAGCCAGGGGTCGTGCATTCTAGTTTGTTACAACCTTGGTGGCTGTCCTTTCTCAAAACTATAAGGTTTTGCGTGCAATCCCGTTTGAATATATAATACTGTTTTGTACTCTCCTGTCCTGTTTCGAATGTGTTGATTCATCATTGGCATTGAGTGCTTGATTGTAGACAGCCCAGGGCACAGCGTAGGGTAGGGATTCTGATCGCATTGCAGGCAACAACCCGCAATGTTTGAGGTCATGGGGAAAATCTCCTTGTGGAGCTTTAGCTAGAGCTGTAAACCGCAGTATGCACATTCTTACTATATATACTGTATATTTGTTTAGTTTTATCTATAATCCTGCAACTTGCATAAATATATATATATATATACGCTTTTGCAACTCTTCTTGAAGTTGTTGTGTCTAAATTTTAAATCTTCTTGTCAACCGTGAGAGAATGTGGAGAGACCATGAGAGGAAAAGAGTTTCCATAACCTTTGAGAGTTTTGAGAGATAGAGTCCTGGGTTCCTCACAGTTGCGTCAATGAAATGTTGGTTGCGTGCTGCATTCACAGGTTCGACTGTGTATATGTTTTCCTCCAATGAAGAGGGCAAACAGAACATGGAGTGAATCTAGTTGTTACAATCGATCATTCACAATCATCAATATAGAAAATCATGGACATGATGTTTCACGCAAAGCTCTACCACAGTGTCCTGGCAAGATTGAACGCACTCATAAACATATACTTGAGAAGGTCTACAAGATGGATGGTAAGCTCTGTATATACATGTGATGTCAAAAGGTTTTAATACTTTACATTGTGTTGTGGGACCGTGTGTGCGTATGCAGCTATGGCCAACCAACCAGCGCGTATGATTCTGAAGAACCTGCCTGCCTCAACGACAATGATAATGTTGAGCAGCGAGTTGGAAAGGCGAGGCTTGCATGACGGCATCAGCAACATACAGTTCTATCGAAAAGGACGCGTGAGAGATGACCTGCCTTGCCTAGTGTTTGTCACCTACGAGAACATCGACCAGGTCCGCAGAGCTGTTGTTGCATTGAATGGCCAACACATCTTGGAGTCGAAGTACGCCGTGGAAGCCAACATTGCGGAGCCTCGACGGAACAATGCATATCCTGCTCACAATACACATCCTGGTCCTACACCAGGCTTGACATCCAAGGCTGCTTCTGCCGCACCGCCTTGGCAGGCCAGCCGAGCGCCCCTGCCACCGCCTCCATTTCCTCCAAGTCCGCCACCAGGAAGCCCAATCAGCCCACAAGCTGAACAACCAGTTGAGGCAAGCATTTCTGAACAGATAGTTCAGGCCCTGGCAGCCAACATTGCTGCATCAGTGCGTGAGGGAGGCACTGATGATGATCCTTGTGGTGAGCCAGGGCCAAACCAGTTGGCGCCAGCCCAACCCAAATCCGAGGCTGCAAAGGCCAGGGGTGATCCAGAGCCAGAACCCGAATGTGAAGTTGCCATGTCAGATCCATATGAGATTGAAGATGGCGGCGATGGCGGCTACCTCGAAGACCTTCTCAGCGTCATGAGCTTGGCGTTCAACGAGGATGACGTTGACCCGGCTGGTTACGAGCAGGAGGAGGGTGAGGAGGAGAAGGGCGGCGCTGAAGATGTGGAAGTGCCTAGTGATGTGGAGAAGACAAGCTCTGATGAGCAGAAGGGCAAGGAGAAGAAAAAAAAGGAGAAGGAGAAGGCTAGATCCCGGAGGCCAAAGTCGTCTCGAAGACGGCGCCGATCTGACAGCTACAGCAGTGCGTCGAGGCGGCGCCGTCGATCCCGCTCGAAGAGGCGGAGGCGAAGCCGACATCGCCGAAGGCGCAGTTGAAAAAGGCGCGATTGAGCTGAGGTTGTTTTTAGGGATACCCACAAGGTTTCATCCAAACAAAGGTGTCCTCCCCTGACTCCCACTTCTTTTTCAAAAAAGCCAGAGAGTCAAGAAAACCTTTTCGAAACACCTTTTGAGAGAACCTTGAGAGAACCAAGAGAGACAGCCATGACAATGACATTCTTCAACCACGAGATAACCGTGAGAGAGCCACCCATGAACCTTGACAGAACCTCGAGAGTTTGAAAAGAGGGCCATTCATGAAGCTTCAAAACCATTCATCAACCTATGAGAGAAATTCATCAACTTATGAGAGAAACGTTCATGAACCTTGAGATGATGAAGAGACGGCCATTCATGAAGTTTCAACACCATTCATCAACTTATGAGAGAAGTTTTAATGAACCTTGAGAGAACCTTGAGAGTTTGAAGAGACTGTCATTCATGAAGCTTCAACACCATTCATCAACTTATGAGAGAAGTTTCAATGAACCTTGAGAGAACCT